GCTGTTAAGATGCTTCCTTGGTTCAGTGTCATTCACTTGGGGACAATTGTGTATCTGGGCCAAGCCCCAGTAATCAGTGGCCCCAGTTAGCCTAAGTTCTGAATCTATCTCTATCCACATTGAAGGGACAGACTGCATACTTTGTCCTAGCAGAGAAAATTCCATGCAGTCCTTTCTAATACCCAGATAGCTAACCTGCTTCTGGTCCTTACTGGACTTAGACCAGGTTGCAAAGGGTCATGAGAGGATAGGACCTGGTATTAATAGTTGGTTATAATATGATTTGAATGCAATTTTTGATCACTTAAAGAATCTAGTTTTTATTTATATATCATTGATTTTGTGGAAAACATTTTACATGCTTCAACAACCAGTTTATGAATACACATTTGTATGAATACATACATATACGTACATCCTTTTTTGGAAGACAACTCATTTGAAGTGATGGGATATCGTTATTCTCACTGTGTTGAGTCCTGGTCATTAGAAACGTCAGACTATTTTTGTAATCAGTTTATTCCCTTCTTAAAATTGGAATTTGTCAACTTAAGGATACTTGTTTTTCCCCTATATTTTAGTAAATACTTCTTCTTAAACAAACAAACAAAAATCACTTTTATCATTTTCTACTTCCTTTAAATAGTTTCCTGAGATGTAGGTTTCTTTAAAGTATCTATCTCATGCAAGCTTTTTGAGGGTGGGAGGGGGTTAGAAATAATTAGTCTGGATTTTTAAGACCCAAAATAAACTTTTCACTTTATTTTTTGATCTTGCATGTGAATATAACAATACTGAAATTACTTACTTTGCCCTTGTGCTACCTTAGAATGTCCTTGGTATAAGAAGATAATGACCAAGTATATATGCGTGCATTTAAATGGAATTTAAGAAGGGAAGATAATCAAATTATTTTCTCATATGAAACAATGAGATAGGGCAACAGGGCACAGAGGAAAAAAATATTAAAAGTAACTCTAAGTGGTTGATTTATTAATTCAAGAAGGTAATTTCTCTAAAATGAGATTTCTGAATTTTTGGAATAAAATGTAAGTAAACAGGCTGAAAGAGAATTGAAAGTGGATGTTCTTGATGAATGGTAAGCATGATAAGTTGAAGAGAAATAGATGAAAAAGTTATGCATAATGCCTTGAAGTATAGAGAAAGTTCTTTTTCTGGAGAAAAGAAAGCTGAGTAGTTGATACATTATATCAACGTTAGGTCTTTGGCAAGAATTAAATCCATGCAAGCCTGTTCTGATAATAACAGTTTGCATGTCTGACCACTTCTCCATCTTTCTTCCTGGTTCTAAAACTGAACAGTAAGTTGGAACATACTTCTGTTTCAGATGTACTTTTTAGGACAGAGTTTATTTTCTACCAGTTTTGCTCTAAATTAAGTTTTTAAAATGGCATTTATCTATTTTGACTCATTTGATTGTACTTGAAATTCTCTATAAATATTTTAATATTTTGCTTTTGAAAACTATTTAAATTTGATAAGGGCTTACAGAGTTGTAACTCGGTAATTAGATTCTTTTGTTTGTTTTCTTTTTTGGTGTTTCTGTGGGGGCATTCTAGGGCCTTGGATGCTTCTCATTTCCATCTGTTAGAGCGGAGGCGTGCATATGTGTGTAGGTCAGCAGACAGTGTGAATGCATTTCACTGGGAGCAGCCAACTTGATGTTTGAAATAGAAAAACCATCACTGAGATAGATATATATATAGATCCCGATATAGATATGGATGTAGATATTATGTAGTATAGGTGATTGTTGAGCATAATTTCTTTGTGTGATTATATTATTCTATTAATGAATGAGAATTTATAGGAATGAACATGAGTTTTGGATGAAATGAGTCTACATTTGCTTTGGAAAATTTCAGTGATTTTATATTATATATCATCACTTAAAAGTTTCCATATTTGAAGTCTCCTCAGTGAGCTATCACATGAATTAAAAAGTACCTTTGTTTCTGAGACATAACAAATCCTGGCCATTAAGTCCTCGTGGATCAGCAGGGGGATCTTTCATTGCAACTAATGAGCTTACCCGTATGACAATTTTCAAAAATCTACTTCATTAGGGCTGCTTCTTTTCTAAGAGATAATGGCTTACAGCTTTTCTGTTGTATTTCACTGAAAATATTTTGGGTTATTATTGTATTTCTATATACCATTGCAATATTTCTTTTTTTTTCCCCCATCCTGGACTTTTAAGATTGAATACATTGTCTCTTATCTAAACAGTTGAAGTTTAATGGACTCTAATCTGTGAAGGTTCTATTGATTATTTCACAAGAACCTGCTTCATTATTAAATTGGAATGGTATTTTATTAATGAGTAGAAAATATGACAAAACTCTGTGGGTTGGGGGAGTGTTTTCAGGTAAAACCAAGGTCAGTTTATAGTGTCACCTTGTTCAGCCCTGTCTCTTAGGGTTCTCATACCTCTGCCATATATCTGTCTTCTTCCCTAGGTAGTCTAAATTCTAGAAATGCCATGTAAGTCCAGTCTGTAACTCACTTATTCATTTGATAAGCCTGTGTTGTATGATTGCTCAGTGTCAGAAACGGTGCACTTGCTGCTGGCCCAAGGTTTAGCGTCTGTGTCTTGGTGGAACCCAGGCTCCCTCATTGGCACCCGGCTCCTGTTCCACGGGTTCCTCTTAGATTCTCAGTACCCTTCACTTCCACCTCCTGTTCAATGCAACTTCTAAGTATTGCCATTGTTATAAGCCTAATACTGAGCCCCACTATGCATAAAATACGGCTCTTAATTCCTACAGCCTTAACTTCTTCTCCCCAAATGTTATTTACTTGAGAAAATCCTTTTTAGTACCTTTTCTTTTGATTTCCTTTTTCTCATTCACCTTGCCTCTCTTCAGCTTTCAGCATGCCAACTGAAAGCCGCGTGGTGGATTTTAAGTTAAATTGTGGAAAGTGGCAGCTGTGGCCTACGATGTTGCCTAGCTCTCTCCTTTATCGAGTAACTTAGAGTAAATGTCACCTTCCCTCTGGTGCTTTTTCCTGGTCGTTCCTGGGAGCCTCCCCTAAGTTTCAGCGTGCTCTACTCTTTCCTTATGCATAAATACATACGTTTTCCAGAAAATTCTTAGACCTTATTTAAGATCTAGGAGTCCAGCCTGGAGACTGTTGCTGGAGCTTTTGGAGATGGAATTAGCTTCTAGAGAAAGGGCAGCCTTCAGTGAATTGTCAGAGTGGATTTAATGATTGCCCACTTCTAATGTTTTTCACTTTTTTCCATTTCCATGTGTTTAGCTTTCAGGAGCATTCTTTGATGTCTTGTATTTGATTTTTGTCCTCTTCATTTTATTGACTTCTCTGCTTTTAAGACTGTTTGTTTGATTTTTAGCTAGTAACTCCTTGCCCTGACCCAAATATTTGTCTAATCAAATACATCTCCAATTCCAAAGCCTTGTGACTTTCCAGCATTTTATGATAAATGGCTTACTAAATACCAAATGTTTATCTTTTATTCACCTACTGTGAACACTTAGAACACTTCATTTCCAGGTGGCAGCCACCTGGAAATGCCTAGTGTTTGGAATTTCAAATTCATCTGCTATAATAAGTAGAAAGCATTTTCGAAGGCTCCCATTGACCTCCTTGTACTATAGACTTCTAAAAATGCCAATTAAATTTATTAGTTTGATATATATTTTGAATATTCAGGATTAATTATGAATTCAATCACATTTTACACATTCCATGTGTACTGTAAATACATAAAAATATTCATTGTGCGACAGACTTAATAACATAAATAGCATTGTGTTTGTTGGAACCATTCTGTCATGGAAGTCATAGGTTACAACCTCATAATTTTGTGAGATAAATAATTCAGTTGATATTACAGACCAATTGTAGGATATTAGAGTTTTCTGAAAATACACATTTGTGTGCATTTCTGTCAATACAGTGAAATAATTTGAAAGAACATGGTGGGGGGGGACATTTATAATAAAACAATTTAGAGAAGATAGCCATGTTAGGGTATTGCTTTAATTGAATTGTCAATAAGGAGCACAAAAATATATTCTACTAGGAACTGAATTCTGTCTCCATATGTGGAAGCCCTAATCCTTAGTACCTCCAAATGTGATTGAATGTGGGTTTAAAGAGGTGATGAGTAAATTGAGGCTCGTAGGGTCAGCCCTAATCCAATCTAACTTGTGTCCTTATAAGAGGAGGACATTTGGACAGATAGACAACGGGGATTCGCATGCACCCAAGACCATGTGAGGAGACAGCAGGAAGGTAGCCATCTATCTGCAAGCCAAGAAGAGAGGCTTCAGAAAAAAACAGATTACTGACACCTTGGTCTTGGGCTGAAGAACTATACGAAAATAAGTTTCTGTTGTTTAAGCCACCCAGTGTGTGGCATTTGTGATGTGGCCCTAGCAAACTAATAGAATAACTTAAGACATTTTTCTTGCTGAGGGTTTTTTGGCTATAGAATAGAGTAGCCTATACAGAATAATTTTTTACTTTATCAGATCACTTAAACAGTCATAGACCTGCTGTGTTAGATGTTCACTAGCAATCAATTTAGGGATATCAAAGCCTTTTGTGCAAATCATGAGTTATCACATGATTTTACATAATTGCAAGTATGCCTCAATTCCTCTTTTGAATAGA